GTGGAATTGCTGGATCTTGTGGTAGACTGATTCCCATTTTCCTGAGGAGTCACCATACTGATTTCCAAAGTGGCTGTACAAGTTGGCACTCCCACCAGCAGTGGAGAAGTGTTCCCCTTTCTCTAATCCTCTCCAGCATAAACTGTCATTGGTGTTTTTGATTTTAGCCATTTGGACAGGAGTAAGATGGTGTCTCAGAGTTGTTTTGAATTGCATTTCCCTGATGGTTAAGGATGCTGAGCACTTTCTTATGTGTCTTTCAGCCATTTTAGATTCCTCTATTGAGAATTGTCTATTTAGCTCTGTACCCCACTTTTTAAGTGTATAATTTGGTGTTTTGGAGACTAGCTTCTTGAGTTCTTTGTATATTTTGGAGATCAGCCCTCTGTCAGATGTGGGGTTGGTGAATATCTTTTCCCAGTCTATGGGCTGCCGTTTTGTCTTGCTGACTGTGTGCTTTGCCTTCTCAGTTTCAGGAGGTCCCCTTTATTAATTGCTGATCTTAGTGTCTGTGCTACTGGTGTAATTGTTCAGGAAGCAGTCTCCTGTTCCAGTTCCCTCCAGGGTTGTTACCACTTTCTCTTCTAAGAGGTTCAGTGTGGCTGGATTTATGTTGAGGTCTTTGATTCATTTTGACTTCAGTTTTGTGCATGGTGATAGGCTTGGATTTATTTGCAGTCTTCTACATGCCAGCAAATAGCTATGCCAGCACCATTTGTTGAAGATGCTTCCTTTTTTCCATTGTAAAACTTTAGATTCTTTGTTAAAAATCAGGTGTTCACAGGTGTGTGGCTTAATACCAGGACTTTCAGTTCAATTCCATTCATCTACCTGTCTATTTTTGTGCCAATACCAAGCTGTTTTCAGGACTATAGCTCTGTAATAGAGCTTGAAGTCAGGGATGGTGATGCCTCCAGAAGTTCCTTTATTATACATGGATGTTTCAGCTATCCTGGGTCTTTTGTTTTTCCATGTAAAGTTTATTATTGTTCTTTCAAGGTCTGTGAAGAATTGTGCTGGGATCTTGATGGGAATTGCATTGAATCTGGGTAATGCTTTTGGCAAAATTTCCATTTTTACTATGTTGATCCTACCTCTCCAGGAGCATGGGAGATCTTTCCATTTTCTGGTATCTTCTTTAATTTCTTTCTTTGAAAACTCAAAGTTCATGCTAAACAGGTCTTTCACTTGTTTGGTTAGTGTTACCCCAAGATATTTTGTGTTGTTTTTTCACTATTTGAAGGATGATTTTTTAAATTTTTTTAATTTAAATTAGAAACGAGATTGTTTTACATGTCAATCCCCGTTCCCTCCCCTCCTCCCCTGCCCCTCACTAACACCCTACCTATCCCATACCATCTCTGCTCCCCAGGGAGAGTGAGGCCTTCCATGGGGGGGGGGTCTTCAGAGTCTGTCATATCCTTTGGGATAGGGCCTAGGTCCTCCCCTGTGTGTCTAGGCTGAGGGAGTATCCCTCTATGAAATGGGTTCCCAAAGTCCATTCCTATGCTAGGGATAAGTACTGATCTACTACAAGAGGCTCCATAGATTTCCAGGCCTTCTCACTGACATCCACATTCATGGGGTCTGGATCAGTTCCGTGCTGGTTTCCCAGTGATCAGTCTAAGGACCAAGAGCACCCCCTCATTAAGGTCAGATGTTTCTGTGGGTTTCACCAGCCTGGTCTTGACCCCGTTGCTCATCACTCCTCCTTCTCTGCAACTGCTTTCCAGTTCAGTTCAGTGTTTAGCTGTGGGTAGCT